TCTCCAGGCTACAAAGATCAGTTTCCCTGGAGAAAATGTCTCCTTTGGAGGGTGGACTCTACGGCGTTCATACCCTGCTGAGGTCCCTTTTGTCTACTAACCCCACTCTCTCGAGGCTCCATCCCCAAATCTCCAGGAATTTCTCAACCAGGAGTTGACAGCCCTAGCGCTTCCTCCTAACAAAACTGTTAGATCGCACTAACAAAGGACTCGTAGAGTGATTCAGCAAGTGATTCAGCTTTATTGGAAGTAATGAACAAGCACTCAACTCAGTCAGAAACCAGACAACAAAACAGTGGGAGCTATGCTCCTTTTAAACATTACCGGGCTAATATAGCCACGCCTATTTACATTTAACAACCAATGAGATTGCTGAGTTAAAACCCAATGGGAGCTTTTCCCTCTCAGGGAATAGTACAGTTCTGATTGGTCGCTGTTACAGAGCGACCAATAGGAAGTCCATTCAGAGGAGCCCTAGCTGGGCTCGAAGCTTAACATGGGAGTTCTATGAGGTGATTCATGTAATTGTTTCAATACATTACAAAAACACTTTCAGCAATACTGGGTGAAGCTACAGCCTCAGAGATCATCCTTTCCTGCAAAGTTAAAGCAAAACCAGATTTGTAACATAAGTTAAACTCACCTTTCTCCCCAGTGGGAGCTCATTGTTCTCTTCTCCATCTGATCCTCTTCCCATATATGCCTTGAAGAGCGTTACGCTCTATGGACCAACACCTCCTGGTTGTCCCTGGCCCAAAGGATGTCCGTCCTGCCTTGAAGAGGACCAGGGCTTTTTCTGCCCTGGCCCCTGCCTGGTGGAACATGCTCCCAGTCGAGATTAGGGCCCTGCGGGATCATCTTCAATTCCGCAGGGCCTGCAAGACGGAGCTGTTCTGCCAGGCTTTTGGCTGAGTCAGCAGACGTCCCTATATGGCTTCCCTGAGGTTGTTGTCACCCACCTACCAGCCCAAATAATATGCCAGGGAACCTCCCACAGCCAGTTGACGTGTCTGAATTGTGATCATGTTTTAATGTTTATTATTGTTTTAAATTGTTTAATTTTTTAACCGTACTTATTGTGTTGTTATATGTTACCCAATATAAATAAATAATAAACAACAACCCTGTCAGGTAGCTTAGGGTGAGATTGTGTGTTTGGCCCAAGTAACTTTCAGTGGAGAAGTGGGGATCCCAACCCAGATCTCTGTCCACTAAACCACACCAGTTCCTGTAGCTCAGGAAGGTCCTGAAATGCTCTCTGTTTTGTAAAGGAGGAGATATTTTCCACCCTCCCTCCCTGTGCTGCCTTTCTCCCCAAAGGGGACAAAGCAGCTTTAGGTTGTCCTGTTTCCCTCTGTTTTATTCTCACAACAACCCTATGAGGTAGAGGTGTGTGACTGGACCAAAGTCAGACAGCAGCCTTCTGTGGCAAAATGGGTATTTGGACCTGGCTTCCTTTGATCCTGGTTTGGCATTTGTTGGAATATTTGCAAGCTGTCAACACTTTCAGTCATTATAGAGTTAAACTGATGTTGTGTGTAAACAGGATGTTACCTAGCTAAACTGTAACCAATTAGAAGTAAAGATGGTTCCCCGGATTAGAGATGGGGGTATTTAGTATAACTGAAAGTGACCTTTAGTCTTGTCAATGGCTGATCAATATATAATGGTTTGAAGATGTGTAGAAGAGACGAAGAAGAGAAGAGATTGGATTTATACCCCGCCCTTCACTGGGAGTCTCAGAGCGGCTTACAAACTCCTTTCCTTCCCCTCCCCACAACAGACACCCTGTGAGGTGGGTGGGGTTGAAAGAACTCTGACAGAAACTGCTCTTTTTCAAGGACAGCTGTGCCAGAGCTTGTGACTGACCCAAGGTCACATCAGCAGGTGCAAGTGGAGGAGTGGGGAATCAAACCCGGTTCTCCCAGATTAGAGTCCGCACACTTAACCACTACACCAAACTGGCTCTCATCACGTATTTGGTCACACACACATTTGTTTGATGTTTCATGGCAGAAGTTCTGTTCTTTGTTATGAGAGTTATGAGCAAAGACATTTAACCATATAACTGTTAGAGTGTAGCTCTTTCCACGGCCCCACACAATCTCCGAGAGGTTAGTAAAGTGGTTAACCTCCCCACCCCACCGTGGTTTTTTTCACAGCAGTGATCCAGTCAAGTGCTGCTGGCACTTTCATGGCTTCTTGTTAGTAAACCTTTGTCCATGGCAAATAGCAGAGCAATGGTGCAGAGCCAATCTGTTCCTGAATGGTCCCTTTCCTTCATTTTTGGCACTTCAGTTCCTGTGATGATCACCCGGAAGCTGGTGGCCAGTTCAGCACCTCACTTTATTTTTGGATGAGTTATGCTTTCTCCAGACAAACAGAGCCTTTTATTTATATAGGTTCTTGTACTGGTAAGACATCTGGCGGCGGGGGGGGGGGGGGAGACATCTTTGGGTACATTTCCCCAGTCTGTGCCAGGCATGTAGAGAAACAGCTCCAAATGAGCTAGAATATATATTGGCTTCTGCTGTCTATTTTGTAACGGCTTAACATTTGTAAAAACAAAACATCTGCTCTGTTTCTTGCACGCGAGATATGTAAGGGGCAGGGTGGGGGAAATAGTTTATTCACCCAGTGATCGGTCTATCGGCAACATGCTCTTCTTCTTGCTCACCACCCCCTAACCCAGGGAAGGGGCCATGGCTCAGTGGTAGAGCATCTCCTTGGCATGCAGAAAGGCCCAGGTTTGGTACCCACCTCCTCCAGATCCAGCAGTAGGTGACGTGAACCTCTCCCTGAGACAGCCGAGAGCTGCTGCCAGTCTGAGTAGGCAATACTGACCTTGATGGACTGATGATCTGATTCAGTATAAAGCAGCTAAATCTATTTTATTGGCCAGTAAGATCCGCGACAAGTGTTGGCATTTGGACTTGCTGGTCCATGGGATCGCGAAGAGTCGGACTCGACTGTGCGACTGAACAACAACAACAAATACCCTCGATATTCATTTGGCAGATTCGGATGCAATCTCCTATACTGAGAAGGACTGCTTGATTGGTTGATTGTTTCCATGTGTGTTGTGTAGCCAGGAGATCCGACAATTGTCTAGCAGCCAGAAGTTAGAGCTCTTTAGCGTTATCCAGGGTGTGCCACGAGGAGGCGAGTCAGAATCAACCCCCCCCCCCCAAGAATTGCACCCTGCAGGATGTGACTTGCTCGATAAAGTATGGAAGACAGCTAATAGAATATGAACAGGCTCTGGCAGGTGTGCGGACCTGTTGTTTAAATGGGGCAAAATGCCAGAACCTAGGTGCGATTCTGGTGCAGCCTGCCAAACTATTTTCCATCCGTCACAGGAATGTGAACGGAGCTCTTTAAACTCTCCCCGGCTGCAACTGAGTGGATTGAAAATTTAGGTATTATATTTAGGGGGATTGTCCAATCAGTCTGTGTACCGGTTGTATCAACTTGGTTCCATGTTTTATATTATGAGATGCTTCCTGTGTGTAACTCTGCCATATGATAAATAAATGAATGAATAACATAAAACAGCTTCAGGTATTCAGTTCGTTTGCTGCCCGATCTGGCCGGCCTGCCTCTGTACTGTTCCTGCACGGATGAGTCAGGTTGTGACGTCATGACTTGTTGCAAATGGCTTTCCTTAGGCAGGTCTCTCTGGAGAGCCACCACCACCACCCCTCCCTGGTAGACCCCTCACTGCATTTGTAGGGTTTTTTATGTTTTCTGGGTGGGGGACAGAAGACACGACTCTGTTAGGGTGGGCTGCTTTTCTTTGCTTTAGCCATGAGTACAACCTCCCCTCCTCCCTTTCCTTCCTGGGTTTGGTCCTAAAGAGAGCTGAAAGGAGGAGTTTTCACTGTGTCGTGCTAGTGGAGGAAGGTGCTGTCAAGTCACAGGGTTGCTGGGTCCCCCCTGGTCACCAGTAGGGGATGGAAGGAGGATGGTAGCCAGATCCAGGTTGGGAAACTCCTGGAGATTTGGGGATGGAGCCTGGGGAGGACAGGGACCTCAATGAAGTACAATGCCATGGAGTCCACCCTCCAAAGCATCCATTTTCTCCAGGGGAACTGACCTCTGTAGTCTGGAGAGGAGCTGTCATTCTGGGGGATCCCCAGGCCTTACCTGGAGGGCGGCATCCCTAGCACAGCTGGCTTATGGTGTCCCTCTGGCAACGCTCCCTCTAAGCTGTGGAGTCTCGTGAGCAAAAATTCTACTTTGTGAGCTACTGGCATTAAACTTGTGAGCGAGCAATTTGGCTACTGCATAGATTAGTTTGCTCTGGAGCCACCATTCCTGAGCTAAGACAGAAATGTGTGAGCCGGAGGCTAAAAAACTGTGAGCTAGCTCACACTAACTCAGCTTAGAGGGAACACTGCCCTGTCGTGTTTTCAAGGCAAGGGATGTTCAGAGGCAGTTTGCCATTGCCTTTCTCCACGTAGCAACCCCAGACTTCTTCGCAGGCCACTTTTTGGGGGAAAGTGGAGACCAGGGAACATCACTAGAATTCTCTCCTTTCAAGTGCCTGGACCTGGCCGGGTAGGCATAGTATCCCATTTTAGAGTACACTTTGCCATTTTCGTTTACCAGAGTGACAAAGGTGGACCACGGTAAAATCTCAAGAGCTGAAGCAGGGAGGTTGGAGGGGGAGAAGAAATACAGGGCTGCTGCTTTTAATTTTCAGGGCCCAGACAAGTGAAATTTCCCTGGCTAGATCAAGATGGGTAGCCTTCTTAGTCTGCCCATAGCAGTAGAAAAGAACAAAAGCCCAAGTAGCACCTTAAAGACTAATACAATTTGTGGGGTATAGATTCTTTCATGAGCCAGTGGTCACATATTTTCCCCCCACCTAGTTCTGTGTAACTCCTGGCTTTTAACCCATTTATTGCTCAGGGGCAATGGGAGGAGCCCGTTGCTGCCCCGCCCTCTTCACTCCTAATAAGGCAAGAGGCGGGCTTAATTCATAACCTGCGAATTCTCCGCAAGCGATCACGGTGTTGAGCAGAACGGCTCATCCCTCGGAGTTTTCTTAGGGAGGAAGACTTTTTACGGGCAGGTGTGTATACGTGATTTTTTTTTCTCTGTTCTCCAAGACGCTCTTTGCGGCCGCGGACGGGACGCAGCCCGTGGGTGGGATCGATCCTTGGCGTGCGTCCTCGGAAGCAAAGCCCTTCCGTTCCACGGGGCTTGCTCCCGAGTAAGCCCCCATTGAACGCGCCGGGAGAAAGTTTCCGAATAAACCGGCCGTGCGGCTGTCTGCCTCGGTGGACGATTGGCCTGATACGGCAGGGCTGTTCTTGTGTCCTGAAACCGGAACACAGATCTTGTCCTTGCAGAGATTTGTCCCGATCGAGTATAGATTTGTGGAGGAGCCGGGGTCTTTGCTGATGATGATGGCATTGGGGAGAGACTGTATCCCCAGGGTGTACGTTCTGCAAAAGGTAGGCATGTTCGGGCATAGCCTGATAAGAAGAGGGGAAAGGAGGTGTGGCGATGCTCTAAAGAGGCAGGGACGGTCGTGCCCAGAAACCGCGGGGCGAGGACGCCGTGGCGGCGCGGCGGGCGGCTTCCCACTATGAGCGCTCAACCTGCCGCTTGCCAAAGAGATCTGAACGCGATAAAATCGAGCGAGCCGAAGATGTTGGCCGGGTGTTGGGTGGGGGAGGAGAATTCCTGGCGACGAGGGTTCCATTCTGTGGCCAATTTCCTAGCTAGGTCTATCTGACTAGCGCATTTGAGCCACACATTCCGAAAGGTTTTTGACTTAAATATTGACTGATTTTATTGTTAAGATGCAAAACCGGATCTTGGAGCGTCGCTGCCCTCTTCCTGTGCGGTGGTGGGGTTGCTGGAATCCGGTTGCCTTAGAACGTGATTATTCTGCTCCTGTGGGTAGTAACGCGCTGCTTTCCTTTCTAGAATATCGTGCTGCCCTGTTTCTAGGGCATCGTGTTATTTTCTGCACAAAATAATAATAAAAATAAAAAGTTCCCGTGTTTTGTTGGAGATGCTGTCTGGCCCAGAAGGCATTAATAGAGAGGTAGCCTGGTTGTAGTTAAGAGTGGCGGACTCTAATATGGAGAACAAGGTTTGATTGCCCACTCCTCCTCCACATGTAGCCTGCTGGGTGACCTTGGGCCAGCCACAGTTCTCTCAGAACTCTCTCAGCCCCACCTAGCTCACTGGGTTTCTGTTGTGGGGAGAGGAAGGGAAGGTGATTGTAAGCCACTTTGAGACTCCTTAGGGTAGAGAAAAGCGGGGTGTGAAAACCTACTCTTTCTTTTTCTAATTAATATAGTATTATGACAAGGGTTTAATTTCTAAAATATTGTTCTCAAGTATCATTACCTACATCCTGTTGGTTTCTGAAGCAATTTTATTTGTTGAGTGGCAGTCAGACTACCTGACACCTGTGTCTGCATTGGGAAAGAGGGGAGGGGGAGTTTTTTAATAGAAGGATGGGAGTGCTGGCAGGGGTGAGAGAGTAATTTCTCAACTGCAGCACTTAAAATAAAGGCCATCAAACAAAGTGATAGCACAGTAACAAATCTGCAACCTAGTGTAGCAGCACTTTCAAAAAACTTTACTACTTTTTCTTGATGCACTTTATGCTGTTGGTGTCCTGGAACAGATGCTTTAGTCAAATGGTGAAAGGAGTCCTTTGGTCATTTAAGTGAAGTAAATCAACAGCTTGATTTTATGCATGTTTCTTCAGTGGAGCAGGATGGTTGATTTTTTTGCTGTCGCAATTTTAGAAGACAATAGGGAACCCTTAGTGTAGAAATATAGCCACAAACAATATCCACCAAGGGAAGACCATCTACAATTCACAACTATGTTCAAAACTTATATTATATTCATTGAAATACAAAGAAAGGTTAGTGGTCACAACCCAATAGAGTATATAAACATAGATCCAACAATTTGCTCATAACAATTAAACATAGTTTAAACAAAAAACATATTCAGGACCAACAGTTGGCTCTTCTGTAATTCCAGACATAAATAGTGTCCATAGACCTCCAAACAGAAAGTAACTGCAGCAGAAGACTCCCACTGTGGAAAGAATAACAGCTGAATGCCTCTCCCAGGTATAAATCAAGCTTTTCAATGATCTTCAACAGCGGCTGGTAAGATGGAACCCGATTTCCAAAATAACATAGGCACAGCGCAAAAGCTTCAGTGGAATCCTAGGGTTAAGAACATAAGAACATAAGAGACGCCAATGTTGGATCAGGCCAAAGGCCCATCCAGTCCAACACTCTGTGTCACACAGTGGCCAGAAATACCAGGTGCCATCAGGAGGTCCACCAGTGGAGCCAGGACATTAGAAGCCCTCCCACTGTTGACCCCCCCCCCAAGCACCAAGATGACAGAGCATCACTTGCCCCAGAGTCCCTATCTATACCTTGTGGCTAATATCCACTGATGGACCTCTGCTCCATCTCCCATCCAAATACTAACCATGGCTGACTCTGCTTAGGTTTTGAGGTCGGGCTATCCTGGGCTATCCAGGGCAGAGTCAGCAATACCTACTTCCATTACACTCACAAGGACTTACTTCTGAATAAACTTCCTAAGTGTTGTCTGGGGCAAGTTTGAACTAGAGGGTTGTCCCACAGCCTGGAGAAAACTGTCCCTTCCATTTAATAGAGGGTGACTGGGATGCCATTTGCCAGCTGATGCTGTTTGCCTCCATGCTGTGAAAAGCTTCCAGTGCCCTCTTCTGCATGGTGTGCCCCTATTAAAAGAACAGGACATTTTCTTCTCCAGGCCAGTTGGCAACTCTAGCTGCCTGTCTACTTTTAAAACTTTGGATCTATTCATGGAACTCAAAGCATCATTTGTAGTTAAGTCTGTGGATGTTCCCATTTTTGTTGATTTGATGGATGGCTTAAATTAGTTCCTGGATCCTTATAGGCCTGTCTTCCTCTCCACTGGGGGCCCAAAAACGGCTTTTGTTGTTCACCTCTCTTCCATTTTATTTTCACAACAACCCTGTGAGGTAGCTTAGGCTGAGACCGTGTGACTGGCTGCAGTTCTGAGTTACTTTATCCTTTAGCCCAACTGCTAATCTCAATGATACTTCCATGGCTTTGCACCTCAAAATACATTTTGGACCATGTCAAATTGTGCACCCCTAGACTCTAGAGACTGTGTTCCACAAGGTGATATACACTAGCCCCCCCTTCAAAGTTGGGTGCCCCTCTCATGCTTATTTGGGGGGCACATCCAGGATACTTCTGTCCCCCCGGTTACTTGTTCTACAACTGCTAATTTCTTGAGATATCCCACTTTGAAGCACTCTGACCCCAAACCAGGCTGAACTGGGGACCCTGTGGGTGTCATTTTATGGGACCCAGTTAGGAGAGGCAGGGGATGCATGGCTTGGTATGGTCCAGAGCTGAATTTGGGGGTGCAGCTGCCTCTTCAGTTCAATAACCCACTGTGAAACATTGAGCACTCAGCCCTGGCTTTGGACTAGGAAACTCTGTCCCTTTGCAGAGTCCAGGGATATAAGATATGTGGTGGTCCAAAGGTTTATTTTGAGGTGCAGAGCTGTTTGGGTATCATCATTGTTGGTTGGACTGGAGAATAAAGAACTTAGAATTGCAAATAAGAAACCTAGAGCCACTGCCAGGCTCCATTTCCTGAACAGCGAGTGAGTTATCCATTGTAGTCAAAACAGAAGAAAAAGAAGAACTTATGTCAAAGTACTATGCTATGAATTCTTTGAATGTGCTACCAATAATTTCCTTCCCCTTGGAAGTTCCAGATTCTGTGTGTGTGCAGGCAAGCAGGTTACCAGGCTACAAGTTGTTAAGTACTTTCTTTGCAGAACAAAGTTTGAGTCCAGTGGTGCCTTTAAGACCAACAAAGTTTTATTCCTGGTATAAGCTTTTGTATGCATGCACACTTCTTCAGATACACTGAAATGGCAGTTACCTGTCCATACATATAGGTTGGGGGTGGGGGTTGATGCCAGGAAGGGCTACTTAGAGTAATGATGCATAAGTAACTGAGCCACAAGTATAGCTAAAATTGGATTAAATTATAACTAAGATTGGATTAAAGCGAATCTTAACTATATTTATTGCTGAGTAACTTATGCATTGGGCTGTGGTGGCTCAAGTAGTTAAGACACTGAACTGCAGGCCAGAAGGTTAAGCAGTTCAAGACTCGAGTGCCGCATGACACAGCTCCTGCCAACCTAGCAGTTTGAAAGCAAGAAATTGCAAGTAGAAAAATAGGTACTGCTTTGGTGGGAAGGTAACAGCGTTCCGTGCGCCTCTGTGTCGCCTCTGTGTCTAATCATGCCGGCCACATGTCTTTGGACAGCGCTGGCTCTTCGGCTTGGAAACGGAGATGAGCACCGCAACCCTAGAGTCGGATTTGACTGGCTTTCGAGTAAGGGAAACGTTTACCTAACTTATGCATCTTGATTCTAAGTAGCCCTTCCTGGCAACAAGTCCCCCACCTTCCCCTCTACCTATATATGTATCTGAAGAAGTGTGCATGCACATGAACGCTTATACCCAGAATAAAACTTTGTTGGTCTTAAAGGTGCCCCACTGGACTCAAACTTTGTTTTACTGCTTCAAACCGACACAGCTTCCCAACTAATGTTATCTTGGTGGTAAACTTGGCATGGGCGTGGCGTAGCCATTTTGGCAACAGAGATTTGTGATGTTCAATGAAAGCTTCAGGTTTCTTCCTAAACTTTTTGCAGTTTAGGACTATGTGACTAATATCTTCATTTTAATAGTGAGGAAGTAATTCATTTCTAAACGTCTGAGATCGTTGTGAAATTATGTGTTGGTTGAAGAGTGGCATTTTTTTTTTCTTTGAAAGCTTCAGTAAATAGAAATGTTATTCACGGCCCACTGTCAATACAAGAGAAGGTATTTCACCATAGCGTACTCAAAATGATCCTCCCATTGCCTGTGGCACATAACGTTGCTAGGGAAAAAAATAGTCATAATCCTGTAACAAAGGCTTAACGGGATGCTATTTATCTGGTGATGTTAATTACCTCTGTGGTATGAAAGCTTCAAC